GTGTTGGGTCCCCTGAAACTGGAGTTATAGACAATTGTGAGCTGCCAAGAGGGTGCTGGGAATTGAACCCAGGTTCTTTGGAAGAGGAGTCAGTGCTCTTAACCACTGAGCCATCTCTCCAGCCCCCCATCTCAGGGTACTTAACCTCTTTAGATAAAAAGAACAGAAAATAGAAGCTGGGCATGATGGCTCCTCACTCACCTATAGTCCAAGCACTAAGGAGGCTAAAATGAGAGGATTGCCACAATCTCTAGGCCAGCCTGTGCTTCAGTGTGGGGCCCTATCTCACTAAACCCAAAAGAATAGAAAATCGGGAGATGGGTGGCAACATGGCCTTGCTCTGCTAGAGATTTTGCTCACTGAATGTGTGTGGATGCACAGAGCACATGGGAGGGAGTCCAACTATGGATGTGGTCCCCAAAAAGAGAAGGTGGTGCAGGGACCAGTGTGTCTTTTACAGACCAAAGAAAGAAAATCCTTTTACATGAAAACATGGTTATCTGCACCCTCTCCCAATCTCAAATGGTAACTGGAGCCCTGACCAAAGGGAGTCACTTCAGAAATATGTGTAGGTCAATAAAATGCGACTGTCCTCCATGTGACACCTTCTTGAGATCAGGGAACCTACCATTTGTGGTCCTCGGTGCTCTAATCTCTCATCCCCTGCCTGCTGAAGCCCTACCCCTTCCTAGGGTTCTGCCAATGTGCACTGCTGAGGAAGTAATCCTTTAGGGAAGCCCTGTACTATTTACTCTGCCCAAGAGGTCAGCTACACTACCTCTCCTCACTGTTGGTTGTCCATTCTGCCAATGTGCACTGCTGAGGAAGTAACCCTTTAGGGAAGCCCTGTACTATTGACTCTGCCCAAGAGGTCAGCTACACTACCTCTCCTCACTGTTGGTTGTCCCAGCCAGCCTGCTGTCTTCACAGGTTCAACTTCGTGGCCAAGAAACTACATCGTAGGCTGCTGCAGCTAGGAGGCAGTGCCCTTCTGCCCCCATGTCTAGGTGATGACCAGCATGAGCTGGGGTAAGTGGTGGTTGCAGGGTACCTCTCTGGCACCCCATCTTGGCTCTGGCCAACAGAGGCCAATTCCTGTGCTCTCTCCTAGTCCTGACCAGCCAGCCTTGCTGTCTTCACAGGTTCAACTTCGTGGCCAAGAAACTACATCGTAGGCTGCTGCAGCTAGGAGGCAGTGCCCTTCTGCCCCCATGTCTAGGTGATGACCAGCATGAGCTGGGGTAAGTGGTGGTTGCAGGGTACCTCTCTGGCACCCCATCTTGGCTCTGGCCAACAGAGGCCAATTCCTGTGCTCTCTCCTAGTCCTGATGCTGCCATTGACCCCTGGCTGGGGGACCTTTGGAAGAAAATACTGGGACTGTACCCAGTGCCCCTTGACTTTCCTGAGATCCCTCATGGAGTCCCGTGAGTCTGAACTTTTGGTCTGTGAATACCAAGGGACTTTGAGCTGGTTAGCACCCCTTCAAGGTAAGGTTGAGTGGCCCCTGCACACCTGATATTTCCATTTTCCCCTACAGCTTGCCCTCCAAGTTCATATTCCAGTTTCTTGAGGAAGTCCCCAGCGTGGGAGCTGAGGAGCTAACCATAGCCAGCTCAGCTCCTCAGAGACCCCCATCAGAGTTACAGCCCTTCCTGGCACCTGTGGTCACCAACCAGAGGGTCACTGGCCCCCAACATTTCCAGGATGTTCGGCTGATTGAGTTTGACATTACAGATTCAAGTATCAGGTGAGGGGCCAAATCCCTCAAGAAGTTGGGCAGGGTGCCGTGTGTTCTTAGGAAACTGGCGTGGTCAGGGAAAAAGTAGGCCGTAGGTGGGGGTTCAGAAAGGTCTGCCAAAGCCAAGGACCATGCAGCCCATTGGCTTGGAGATCTTTGCACAGCCCTCCAGCCCTCCCTGAATAATCGCTTTCTTCCTCTTCAGTCTACTTAGTCCCTTCATCCTCCCCCAAAGTACATACTCTCCCTTCCCCTCAACTCCTTTGTCCTCCCCACACCATTCCCACATATCTGGTGACTTTTCCATATAGTTTTGCTGCTGGTGATGTCGTATTAATTATGCCCTCTAACTCGGAGACCCACATCCAGCAGTTCTGCCAATTGCTGTGCCTGGACCCCAATCAGTTTTTCGTGCTTAAGGCACGGGAGCCAGGTGAGTCTGGGAGATGTACCAACTCTTAAGGTCCAGGGCACCACCTGATGTCCCTGCCCACCAAGTAAGTCTCCATGCCATTCCTGCAGGTGTCCCTTACCCACCAGGACTGCCTCAGCCCTGCACTGTGTGGCATCTTGTGTCACAGTACTTGGACATTGCCAGCGTGCCCCGCCGTTCCTTCTTTGAGCTCTTGGCTTGTCTTTCCCAACATGGGCTAGAGCGGGAGAAGCTGCTGGAATTCAGCTCTGCCAGAGGTCAGGAAGAGCTCTGGGAGTACTGTAATCGGCCCCGCAGGACCATCTTGGAGGTGGGCTAGTGGGCAGGCAGTGGGTATGGGCCCTTGAACCGTAGCACACCACCACCATGCTAAGACTCCCTCTATCCAGGTGCTATGTGACTTCCCACACACGGCGGCTGCCATCCCTCCAGACTACCTTTTGGACCTTATCCCTCGGATCCGTCCACGGGCCTTCTCCATCGCCTCCTCCCTGCTGGTGAGGGACCCAGTAAAAGTGAAGACTGGATGGCCATGGGAAAGCTGGGACAGGGCAGGCAGGGGCTGTCTTCTGAACAGGGACTGTTTCTCTACCAGAGGCTGTCTCTGGGTGGGGTTGGTAGCAGGCAGGAGTGGTTTAGTAGGGCAGGGCCTTCACTGTGCCCCTAGGCTCATCCCAGGAGGCTACAGATCCTTGTGGCTGTGGTACAGTACCAGACTCGTCTCAAGGAGCCCCGTCGTGGCCTCTGCTCCTCCTGGCTAGCATCCTTGAATCCTGAGCAAGGTAATCCATATTTCTGGGAGTGGGAGAGATTGTAGCCTCAAGCTCCTGTGACTCCTGCCACAGGAGCTCAAGCCCCACCAGTGAGCAAGCACCTCAACCTTGTCTTTGACCTCCTCAACATCTCCCTCCTGCAACAGGACTTGTCCGGGTGCCTCTATGGGTGCGACCTGGGAGCCTAGTGTTCCCAGAGACACCAAATACCCCCATTATTATGGTGGGGCCTGGAACTGGTGTGGCCCCCTTTCGAGCAGCCATTCAAGAGCGAGTGGCCCATGGCCAAACTGGTGAGTACAGGAGTCCCAGGGCAGTGTGACCACTGAGACTGGTCTTACTGAATCCCTGCATCCAGATGGGGGGGGCTACCCTCTGTACCCCAGGAAACTTCTTGTTCTTTGGCTGCCGCCAGCGGGATCAGGACTTCTACTGGCAGACTGAGTGGCAGGAACTAGAGAAGAAGGGCTGCCTGACCCTGGTTACAGCCTTCTCTCGGGAGCAGGTGAGTATACTCAAGTTAGATGGGGCAGGAGTGGGGATGGCTGAAACTCAGCCTCTGATACCTGCAGGAGCAGAAGGTATACGTGCAGCACCGGCTCCGAGAACTAGGGCCACTTGTCTGGGAGCTGCTGGATCGCCGCGGTGCCTACTTCTATCTAGCGGGGTGAGCCAACTTGGGAGTATAGAGGAGTGGTCCAGCCTTCAGAGGTGGGGAGTGGGGGTTGGGGCCACAGGATCACTGAGCTTTCTGAGGCCTGCCCCTCCAGCAATGCAAAGTATATGCCTACGGACGTTGCGGAAGCCTTGACATCCATTTTTCAAGAAATAGGACAACTCTCCAACCCAGATGCAGCTGTCTACCTTGCCAGACTCCAGCAGACACTGCGCTTCCAGACTGAGACCTGGGCCTGAGGAGCTACTTGCTAGCTCACTCCCACATAACAGCTGCACTGGAAGACCTACTGAAATCACCTCCTGTCCTTCTCTGATCCCAGAACACTGGTTAGACCCATGGTGTAGCTTCTTGGCTCCAGCTGATTAGGAGAGCACTCCCTGAATACTTAGTGGGATCCAGTATCCCACCCACACTTAATCCCAACCCCTGTGCAACCTACATCCTGGTTTCCTCTTCAGTCTCCTTCATTGTGTCCACAGGTATACATTATGGTCCATACCACCGGGGGCCTGCTAAGACCTCCAAAAGGCATGGAGTCTGTGAGGGCTACACTGCTACTCTGCCCTGGTGCTATTTCCATTCACCCCACAACACCTCAAGGCCTAAGTCTCCTGAGCATTGAAAATGAGCAAGTCAGTCTGTCTCCGGGTCCTTAACATCTTCAGTAAACTGCCTGGGTGGCTACTCACTTCTGCTTTTTTGCTTCTTCTAAATTTGAGGGTGGTAAGTGGGACATGGATTATCTGCATCTGCTAGTGGTGGCCAAAGACCCTCGCAGAGCGTGTGCACAGGCTATGTACTGTGTATGTGTGTGTCCTTGTTAGATAGCTATGCTTGAGTCACACTGCACTTGGATGTCTGATGCGTAAGTTCTTGTTGGTGTCTCCTTTGTTCTTAGAGGGCAAGTCTTGGCTCTGTCTGATCTTAAACCTTAACAGCTCAGCCAAGCTCATACCCTTCTCTGTTGGCCAAACAGAGGGCCCAGAGAGCTATTGGAAAGTCCCAACCAAGTGCTGGAACGTACTATCTGGAAGAGTGAGCGGGTAGAGGGGTGTGATATGAGTTGGCCCGCCCATGGGCAGGGCCTCTACCCCTGGAAAGAGAAACCCTGTTGGAGGAGTCAGACAGGTCCGAGGGCAGCTGGGAGCTGAGGAACCTCTGCTTTGTCCGACAACGGCTGGAACAGAGACCAGGCCTGGCCAACACCACTCTTAGGCCTGAGATACCAAGAGCTGACAACGCTGTGCGGACCCAAGTGAAGTTGACTTCCAGCAAGGCCAAAGGTGTACCTGGAGGTCAGTGCTCCAGTGACAAGATCAAACTCTGCCTGGCTTCTGGGGCCACACTTAACCTTCATACTCCCATCAATCCCTGCTGTCACCCTGGAGTCACAATCTGCCCATCCTGACTTCTGTTCTGGTGGTTCTACTCTGGGGCCTAATGACACCAGCTCTGCACCCACCATTTCACCTTGTGCTTCTTGGAGTCCTGAGCTCCTGGACCCACTGTGCCAGCTACCATCAGATGAAGAGGATAATCTCATGCCCCCTCAGGGTGCCAGGAGTCCAGACAGTAAGCCTGAACTGGGAGCCAGAGACTCAACTGGTGCTTGGGCCCTGTCAACTATGGAGGAGCAGGAAGAGGGTGAGGGGCAGGCAGAGGAGGAATGCCCCATCTGCACTGAGCCTTATGGGCCTGATGAACACCACCCAGCCCTGCTGAACTGTGGTCACAGCCTGTGTGTGGGCTGCCTGCACCAGCTGTTAGGGATGACCCCCAGAGCTGACCTGGGCCGTGTGTGCTGTCCACTGTGTCGTCAGAAGACACCCATGCTAGAGTGGGAGATCTGTCAGCTGCAGGAGGAACTGCTTCGAGCTGATGGACCCCAGCGCCCAGCGCTCACTGCATCCACCATACCCCTCCGTCCTGACCCTGGGCCCTGGGGATCCTTAGAGCACCGCTACCAGCTGCGTTTTCTGGCAGGGCCTGTGGGAGGCCGAAGCTGTCTCCCCTTCCTACCCTGCCCACCCAGCCTAGGTACCTGGCTGTGGGCACTTCGGGAACGTGGCCCCTGTGCCCGCCGCCTCTCACTGCTAAGCCTTCTAGCATTAGAACTGCTGGGGCTGGTGCTCATCTTCATGCCACTCATGTTACTAGGAGTGCTCTTCATGCTCCTAGACCGTTCCGGCCGCTAAGCAAAGCCCAGATTCTGGTAATCAGCAAAGACTTTCTGTCACAATCCCAAGACCAGGCCTGCCCAAGAGCCTGAGCCAGCCCTCAGTGCTTACACACCCCTGCAGCCCAGATACTGGCTAAAGCCAAGGACACTAACCCAAGGACAGCCTCTGAAGGAGATTGGCCCAACAGGAAGGGCTGTGAACAGAAACCCATGTGCTTGCCATGGGCTTTACTGACCACAGGCATTGGCAGGGTCATAACACTGGCTCCTGAAGTCCAGCTGGTGAGAGTAGACACATGTGAACAGAGATCTAGCAGTAATTTTGTTTATAGGAGAAGGCAAGGCTGCAGAGACCCTCTCACCTGATCCAGAGGTTGGGGTGTGTCCCTGAAGGCCACAGTAGCTAGCAGGAGAGGCCTGCACTGCACAAACATAGCCTTAAAAGCTCCTCACACAACCTAAGATACCCTCACCAGGCAGGACAGCCCCCAGAGCAACTGGGATCAATACTGACTTTGTACTGCAAGGGCCAAGGTTCAATCCAGACCCCGAAGCCTGTAAATGCCTAAGGTCCAGCTCTGTTTCTAGTTGACTACAATTCGTGTCACTGGACTAGGAGCCCTCACTTGGGAGATGAAGATAAATGTAAGCCCACCTCGTGGCTTATTGGTGATGCAATGAAAGGTAGGATGTTTCAGTCTATACCCAGCGTAAGAATGGCTCTCAATAAACTGTTGCTACTGATACCATTGTTACCAGTCATCCTCATCATTACTCCATCTCTGCCATCCAGGCAGTTCTCCTGACACCCTTCGAAGGTACCTGTTCCAGTCACAGGCAGACCAGCACCATACAGGAGACTGCTGGGTCTTGTCCTGCCATAATCTTAGCCGGCTGTAAGCCTCTACTCATGCTGTCCAAAGGCCATTTCCACACATCCTTGGCCAGGGGAAAGGTACTTTGGGAGGGGGGTGGATCTCACTGTGTAACCCATGCTGACCTCACAATTCTCCTGCCTTAACTTCCAGAGTGCTGGGATTACCAATGAGCATCGCCACACACAGCTGAAAATTCTAGCCTAGCTGGGTCACAGCCCCATGTGCCACATACTAGCAGTCCTCTGCACCAATATGTTCACAGCTAGTCCCAGGTCTCCTGAGCAGCACACTTGACCCAGCAGCAGCAAACTTGGCCCAGCCTGGCCATCAACAAGTAGAGCAGACTAACCTTGAATGGAGTTGGGTGGCCTTCTGGCTCTTAATGAGACCCTGTCTGGGCTACAGCCCTGGGAACCTACCCTTGGCCCAAGCGTGGGCATAGGCCACAGGAGTAAGCTTCAATCAGTGAACAAGTGCAAACTTTGGCAAAGAGTTTTAATGGCAAAGTTGGCTGCAGCGACAATGCCACGCGGGGTAGGGCCAGAAGCCACAGTGGGCGAGAAAGGGTCAGCGGGCAACAGGGCAGGGCCAGTTCCCTGAAGAAGCGGCGAGCAAGGGCCGGCAGGCAGTAGTGGGCAGGTGAACACTACATGATGGAACAGGCTGATAGTGGGTTCCGCACATGGCAGGTGCATGCAGCCCCACAGTACTGCCGGAAGGTCTGGTAGCAGCTGCCTTCAGATTCACCCCCCCACTGGCCACCGGATGGGGCAGTCAGGGCTTCAGGTGGCAAGCGGCTCAGGATGGATGTGTTGACAGCCAGTGCAGCCAGGCCATAGTCAGTGAAGAGCACAGTCTCACGGTGGCAGGTGGGACATGAAATAAACTTGTACTTAGGACAAGACTCGTAAAGAATCTGCAGGCACTGCTCACACACAGAGTGCAGGCAAGACAGCACACGGGGCCGCCGCTGAGTGACGTTGTATGTGTGCCCACAGGTGGGGCATTCCAGGGGCTCACCTGCTATCACTGGCCCAGATGATGAAGGTGCAGAGGCTGTTGGGCCAGGTCGAATCACATATTGATTTACAATGACCTCATCCACTGGTGCCACCCGGGGAAAGCCCAATTCAGAACTGCCCTTGCGGGGCCGCCTTGGCAAGGGTGGAGTGTGGGGTGCTCCTTCCAAGGTAGGCATGTCCCCCCCACATGCCTGGTTGACAATGATCTCTGTGTCTGAGGGCCAAGCACGCTTGGGTGCCAGAGTGGGAGTGGGCCTGGGTGCAGGTGGGAAGCAAGGGGTGGCCGCCGGGAGCTCAGGGAACTTTTCAGGGTGGACAATCTTCATGGCCTCCATTTTGAGGATGACATGGGGGCCTTTCAGGCAGGACATGAGGAGGCCCGGCCATCCACTGCCCACCTCGGGCCCAGGGTCAGCTGGCATCCGGCTCTCTACAGTCAGACCGGACGTTGGCACAGGTGGGGGTGTTGGGTGGGGCCGTGGGGGAAGAGAAGGGGCTGCATCCTGGTCCTGCCAGGCCTGGTGAGGACCCCGGTTACAACGTGGACTGCAAGGGGCAGCCGGTGACAGGTTGGGGGGCAGCCCCCCCCCAAGTGGCCACAATGGCTTATCTGGTTCAGTCCGAAGAGGAGGAGGGAGAGGAGGGGGAGGGGGAAGCAGGCGGGGGCAGGGGGGTATGGGAGGCTGTTTTTTATTGTGGGGCTCACCCAGAGGCTCACCCAGGGTCTCTGTCTGCTGAGGCTGGCAAGGGGGCGTGGAGGGGCCTCCTCCTGCAGCAGAGGTCAGCAGTCCCTGGGCCGGGACATCTGGGCAGGCAGGGGCTAGGTGGGCCCCATGGCTCCAGGACAGGGCGCCCAGAGAAGGCAGCTAGCCTGATCCCTGGCTGCCGGAGGACCTGGGCTGCAGGCTCCGCGGCAACAGCAATGGAGAGGCCTGCACCAGGCCCGAGCTGCGGGTGAGAGACAGCGTGAGG